GGCGGTTGGCTGTACAGGGACCCCCGAGATGCAGCCAGCTCTGGGGCGGGCTCCGTCTCACCTTGACGGTGTAGTTGAAGTAGCGGGCGGTGCGCAGGAATCGCTCGTATCCCTCCGTCTGCTCCGTGGCAGCCGTGATGAGCAGCAGGTTATCTGTGGGGCAGAAAGGTGCCGGGTTCTGGTTAGTTCCCCCCGCATAGACCCAGCTTGGCTCCACACGGGCCCCCCCCCCCCCCCGCCCCCCAGTGGAAGAACCCAGGAGTCCCGGGGGGGCTGCGGCCAATGGGGAACGCTAGCAACACCTGGCCCTCCCTGATCCTGGAGGATGGGGAATCCCCCTCCGGGGGCAGCCATGCGGGGGCTTGGACACACATCACCCACTCAGACAACAGCACCCAATGAGGCGTCCCTGTCCCCACCGGGACTTTCTCTCCCAGCGCTGGGCCCTGAAATTCCAGCTCCCCCTGCCTCCCCGTCCCTCTGCCCCGCTCCCCATGTCTCGGCCCTGCGCCCCACGACCAAGATCAGGCCCCCAACACGCCGGGGGGGCACAGCCAGGGGACGGGATGGTCCCCACCCTGTGATCCCAGCCCTACCAGCCAAAGGGGGCGAGGGGAAACTGAGGCACCATGGGGGGGAGGGGCTCTCCCGAGGGCTGCACCTTAAGGAAGTGGATGGCTCAGCGGGTCGGACCCTGGACCGGGCACCTGGTTCTGGTCCCGGCTCAGCTGCTGCCCTGCGGTGGACATCACACAAGGCCCTTTCTCGCACACTGCCTCAGTTTCCCCCCTCGCCCATTGTGTGGTCAGGCTGTGAGCTCCACACGGCAGGGACTGGCTCACGGCGTGTGCAGAGCCTGGCGCGACGTGGCCCCGGTCTCGGTCGGGGGCGTTGAGGAGTCCACACGGCCCCTGGCACGCCGGGGCCCCCCTCTCAGGCAGTTACTGTCTTACGCGTGAACAACCAAGACAAATTCCCAGCGCTCGGCCCTCGCCAGGCAGCTAATTGGAAGCAGAGAGCAGCGCCCGGGCCAGGTCTGGTGACTGGGCTTCAAATGGCGACGGGGCCCCCGTTCCCCCCTCGATCCCAACATGGGGCCCCCGCGGCCCCCAAAGAAGGGCTGGACCCCCACAGGAAAGGGCGGGGGGCGGGGGGGAGGGCCTCCTGGGTTCTGTCCCCGGCTCTGGGAGGGGAGTGGGGGTTGGTGGTTAGAGCAGGGGAGGCTGAGAGCCAGCACTCCTGGGTTCTCTCCCTGGCTCTGGGAGGGGAGTGGGGGGTGGGGGTTGGTGGTTAGAGCAGGGGGGGGGCTGAGAGCCAGGACTCCTGGGTTCTCTCCCTGGCTCTGGGAGGGGAGTGGGGGCTGGTGGTTAGAGCAGGGGGGGCCGGGAGGGCAGGAGTCACTCCGTGATCTTGGCCAAGCCACTGCCCAGGCCTTGTGCCTCGGTTGTCCGTGAGAAGAGCAGGGCTGGCACTCCCCTCCCTGCCGGCGGGTGCTCGCTTGGCATGCTCTGGCAGGGCCTCTCAGACGCGTCCTGAGGGCGCCCTATGCCCAGCTCCTGCTCACAAAGCCACGGGATCTCAGGGAGGCTCGCCCAGGCAGTATGGGGTCTACAGCACACAGCTGAAAATTCAGGGTTTCACCCAGCAGAGGGCAGTGGTGCCCATAGGTTGCCATTCACACCAGGCTCCGGGAGGATCAGGGGCCACCCAGCCACTGCCTAAGCAGAGCCAGCCCACGAG